ACAACAGGCCACAAACGTGTGGTTTTCAGGCCACGTCAGGCCACAACAGGCCACAAACGTGTCGCAACAAAGCAAGACCGTGTGGGTTTGAGGCCACATCAGGCCAACTTGTTTGGTTTCGAGATTGTTTTTTGGGGCTTGATTTTCAGCAAGTGCTAGGAGACCAAGTCGTTCCTGTACTGTACACATGTTTGCCAGTTTACGCGACTCCAAATCTGGGGTCGAAGAATCTAGGCAATTCTGGCTTCGCGTGTGTGGGCCTCCCCTGTAGGGTTCGGCCTGGAGTGCTGGCGTTGAGGCTTGGCGCGGCGGAGCCTTGTTCAGCCAACCTAAAGGCGGAGGCTTATTTAGGGATGCTCGACGGGGGGGGTCTGTGCCCTGTCGGTGGAGTGTGGAGTGGGTCCGAGCGAGCAGCAACCATCTCGCGTGCGGGCAGCAGTTTGCAGGCAGCTGCAGTGCGGACACTTGGTGGGGTGCCTGGCAAGGCCTGCGTGGAGGTGGGTGCCTGGGCCAGGCGGATGAATGCTGACGGAGGCTGCAGGGCAATTGCAATGGCATGGGCGGTTTCCAGGCTGCTGGAAGATGGCGGCGCGAGGTATAAGGCTCCGAGCTCGAGGTCGAGCTCGAAGGGAGAAAGGCAGGATGCGTCGGGCTCCGAGACGGGAGGCCCGTTCCATGGGTGGGAGGGTTTGGCCCTTTTGCTCGATGGAGTGGGGCTCCAGGAGACCCTAGGCTTAAAAGTGGGGCTTGACATGGTGTTCCGAGTCCTGGAAAAACGGCTGCGGCATCGGTGCAGAGGCAAGCTGTGTCAATTGTGCTGTGGCATGCGCGGGCAGCTCCTTTTCTCCCTGTCTGGTGTAATCATGTCGAGGCGAAGCGGGAGGAAGCTATCTAGGCACCTGTGCAAGGGAGGCTCGGTCCCCGACCCAATGTGGGCCAGGAATAGGCTGGAGAGGAAGGGGAGAGGAAGGGGAGAGGAAGGGGAGAGGAAGGGCAGAGGAAGGGGAGAGGAAGGGGAGAGGGGAGAGGAAGGTGAGAGGAAGGGGAGAGGAAGGGGGGAGGAAGGGGGGAGGAAGGGGGGAGGAAGGGGGGAGGAAGGTGGGAGGAAGGGGAGAGGAAGGGGAGACAGGAAAAGGGGCAGGACAGGGAAGGAGAGGAGACAGGACAGGGGAGGAGAGGACCGGACCAGGACAGGGGAGGACAGGAGAACAGGACAGAGCAGGGGAGGACAGGACATCGGAGGACAGGGCAGAGGAGGACAAAGAAGACCCATGAGTCGAAAACAGCCTGGGCCCAAACGCAGAAAACACATGCAGCAAACCTGAGTCGAAAACAGCCTGCGCTCCAGCGAGAAAACTCCACCCCTGCGATTCTGTTCTGCTTGACGAAGCCATGGGGTGTTAGGGTTTGGGGTTTTTCAGGGTTTAGGGTTTAAGGCTTCTTAGGGTTTAGGGTTCGGGGTTTTTTAGGGTTTACGGCTTACGGGATTTTAGGGTTTAGGTTTTTCGGGGTTTAAGGGTCAGGAGTTTTTAGGGTTGAGGGCTTGGGGTTTTTAGACGGTTTTGTTGAGGGTTTTTTTTTAAGGGTTAGGGTTTAGGGTTCTCAGGTTAAGGGCTTTAGGATATAGGTGTTAGGAGGTTTTTTAGAATTTTAAGGTTTTTTACGGTTTAGGGCTGAGGGTTGGTAGGGTATAGGAGTTTTTTCGGGTTTAGGGGTTTTCAGGGTGTAGGGCTTAGGGGTTTTAGGGTTTAGGGTTTTAGGTCTTCTACGTTTTAGGCTTAGGGGTTTTTAAGGTTTAAGATGTTTTTTATGGTTTAGGGCGTGGGCTTTTTCCTTTTTTAGCCGTAGGGACCTGTTTGAAAGGGATCGGGGGTGTGTCGCGGCTGAGATAGTGGGGGGAACACACACACATGCTGGGTCGAAAATAAAACAGCGGAGGGCTGGGGGCGGCGCAGCCCCCCCCCCCCCCGCAAACACCATGCTCGCATGATGGGTTTGAAAAGCAACGAAAACTCTGAAGCAAGCTTGCAAGGCTTCGCAAGGGGGGGGGGGGGGGGGAAAGCCCCCCTCCCATTTGCAAACACAACACTCGCATGATGTGTTCGAAAAAGACTAAAGCTTACTGAAATAACGTGTTCACATCTTACACGAAATGCTATGCAACAAAGGTTCTCGGTCAGAAACCTCGAGACGTCCGACGTGCATATAGGGACCTATCTGAAAATGATAGGGGTGTATCGCCCGCATGCTCGTTCTCGACCTTTAATATCTCCGTTCACACTGTCTTCGATTACAGCTTCAAAAATACATCTCTTAACGTGTCGTTGTAGAGGTTAACCTGTGCATTGGGTGGTTTTCTGACTCTGTTTCAGAAAAATGATTCACGCCTTTTTGTTTTCTGACTCGGTCCTCCCGATTTTCTGACTTGGTCCTGCACGTTTTCGGGACGTTTTCCCGACACGACGGTCACCCAGAAAGAGAAAGAGAAAGAGAACGAGAAAGGGAAAGGGAAAGAGGAAGAGGAAGAGGAAGAGGAAGAGGAAGAGGAAAAGGAAGAGGAAGAGGAAGAGGAAGAGGAAGAGGAAGAGGAAGAGGAAGAGAGAGACAGAGAGAGGGAGGGAGGGAGAGAGGGAGAGAGGGAGAGAGGGAGAGAGGGAGAGAGGGAGAGAGGGAGAGAGGGAGAGAGGGAGAGAGGGAGAGAGGGAGAGAGTGAGAGAGTGAGAGAGTGAGAGAGTGAGAGAGTGAGAGGGAGGAGAGGAGGAGGAGGAGAGGGAGAGAGGGAGAGAGGGAGAGAGGGAGAGAGGGGAGAGAGGGCGAGAGGAAGAGGGCGAGAGAGAGGAGAGAGGGGGAGGGCAGAGAGAGGGAGAGAGGGAGAGAGGAGAGAGGGAGAGAGAGAGAGGGAGAGAGGAGAGGAGAGAGGGAGAGAGGGAGGAGGGAGAGAGGGAGAAGATAGAGGGGAGAGAGGAGAGAGAGAGGGAGAGAGGGAGAGAGGGAGAGAGGGAGAGAGGGGGAGAGAGAGGGAGGAGAGGGAGATGGAGAGGGAGGAGAGGGAGAGAGGGGAGAAGGAGGGAGGCGAGAGAGGGGGAGAGAGGGGAGAGAGGGCGAGAGGGAGTGGACCACATTACCCTCAACAACAACAAAAAACCTGCCCCCCCACCATACAAAAAAGGGGATTATGCACACAGTTGCTGGGAGAATAGCAAATGCCACCCCACTGATAACTAGGCAATTTGGCTGCGTATAGTCCCAAAATGTGTCAAGCTGTTTACCAGAGTTACCCTCAACAACAGCCCACATAACAGTGAGGAGTAGGCACTGTGCAAACATGAGCTGACCGGAAAGGGGTAACACTCCCATGGACTTGTCCCTAAACCTGGGCCCAGCCATTACCCTGCATGATTCCCATTGGGTCCCGAAACATGGCAAGCTGTGGACCATCTTAACCCTGAACAACAGGGAGTTGTCCACAAGCCCCACCAAGGTCAGCATATGCCCAGCATAAAGTAGAAGATTGAGGATCACACCTATATGCATGACTACTTCAACCTTGCCCTGTACCCGACCACTACTGCTAATCCTCCAGGGGCGAAGTCTCACATGCTTCCCAGGTTCTGTGTGGCCAACTTGGGATGTTGAGTGGGGATGTGATGGGACTGGAATGGGTGGTGTAAGTATGGGGTGTGCAGAGTTATAGTTTGCTTCGGAATGGTCAGGAACATGAGCCCATCCACACCACACCCTCAAACACAGGGACACAGTGGAGCACATTCTAATACGAAGCAACTCCAGCCCTGTGTTGTCGTTTTCACCTCCGACTGGACCACTGGAGCACGTCCGTCGGGACGACCCCCTCGGGGGTTAAGTGCTGTGGAAGGAAGGAAGGAAGTGAGAGAGACAGGAAACAAAAAGCGACAGCGTAAAATCGGCGTAAAAAATGCCAGATATAGAAGCACATGCAAATATCATTTCGCATCACTCGTGGCGTATCGTTTGCGTTATGTGCCCCGCGCGCGTGTCACGCGGCCCTTATCAGGTTTGTTTTTGAGGGGGGTTGGGTGGGAGGGGGGATGATGGCTTTCGCTGAACCCTTGTCTTTCCCCGAATCCCTGTGACGGGTTTGATTAGGACGCAGTCCGATGTCCCTAGCTTGCCAAAGCAGCAACCTTGCTGTGACAACTCCAGCAGCCCCAGCATGTTCAGGTGTGATGCGTGAAGGAAGCAAAGACAGCCACTCGGGGGGTGGCCGACCGCGCCGCCGGACCGACGTCATTGTGGCGCTCGCTTGCTCAACTTGCTGTGCTTGACATTGGCAAGCCGTTAACTGTGCAAAGTGTTTGCATTTGGATAAGCTATATAATCTTTTGCTTGTCGGTGAGGTGATGGTTGGCGTCCTGCACGAAAACTCACTGCTGTGCCATAAGTAGCTCAGGAGGCTTTATCCGCTTGAAGGGCGTTCCAGCCACCATGTGAAGCTTACCAATTTGTGCTTCTGTTTTCCGCAATGCATGCGCCCTCGTTGAAAGGATGCGTTTCCTTGCCAGGTGTGCCGTTCCCGGGGACCGATTTCAATGTTATGTTCCAAGCGCATCCTGAGGACGGTTCTCACACACTGAGATTTTTTGTTTTTGTTTGAAGAACATGGGCCAACATGGGCACACACACACACAATTGAGACGCCGGCGAAAAGTACAAGAGACCTGGACGAGGAGAAAATTGAAGGTAAAATTTGAGATTCACACACCGAATGTGGAGAGAAATTCAGCAGGCATCTGACTATGCAGGTGATTGGTGTGGATACATGATCATGTTGATGACCACGCTCAAACCACCCTTTAGAGTTGCGCAGGCGCAATACACTTTCAGCAAACCAACGTTGTTGGACATTTCTTCGGCAACTTGCGGAATGATTCTTGTACTGTTTGTATACACAACACAACCAACCAACCTTAATGTAATGTGTCGATATGAAGTGCACTGTTTTGCCTGGATGCTAGTGAGCCATGTGTACTGGTGCACGTTTGTGCTGGCATCGCATGCTGTGGCTTGCAATTGGTGCTATTTTGGAACATGCCTGGTCTGGTCCTTGGAAGAGCTATCATTTTTGTATATGTTCGCTGTGACAGAAACCTTGGTTCCACGTGCACTTGCTATGCCTTGGTTTGTGTGGGTGCAGGGTGTTCAAGAATTCGGTCTCAAGTTTTGGACTTGGGAGTCGCACAGAACTTGTCAGAGCGCTGAGAGCCGGGACTGGGGCTGAAGGACTTTGGGCAAGGGGTGGGTAAACAATGGAGGATGTGGTTGACACAGGACTGGCATCCGCACTCGAGATAACCGCCATTAATAAAATGCAAGCGCTCTCTGGTCAGCTTATCATTGCGAGTATGCGGTGGAAGAGTCCTGAAATCCATGCATGAGAGCTAGGTTTGACAGCTGTCAAAACAGTTTACCTGAATGCGGACAGGTGGACTTTGCCCCAGTTTTTTGTTCGAATACTTGCACTTCGCTTCCTGGCTTGTCGATATTATGAGTTGTACCATCGGTGCCAGGCATGTTCTTGCCAAGTGGACTTCCGTGAAAGCCACACACAACACTTGGTAGTACCGTTGTGCAAATCTCCCAGTGTTGATCGAGGCTGCAATTTCGGGATCATGTGGACTGGCAGCGTTCACAGAACATGCTGGAAGAGGTTGTGCGATTGTGGGTGCACATCGACCCTCAGTCCTTGGAATTCCACCAAATACAGGCCAATGTGGCAAGTGTGGCTTGTTGCAGAGTCCAAAGTCCTGTCGGAGTTGTCATCAGTTATGGGTTTGACGTGAAGGCCTAGCAAGCGGACCGACGAGAGGCAGAGAGAAGTAAAAAACGAATTAGCTCTTTTTTTTTTTTTTTATCTCTCCCTCTTTCTCTCTTTCTCTCTCTCTCTCTCTCTCTTTCTCTCTCTCTCTCTCTCCCTCTCTCTCTCTTTCTCTCTAGTGTCAGGAGACGGAGGTCAGTTCGGGCTGTTTCGTCAGGAGATGTTAGGAGATTGTTTGAAATGTCTTGTCCATTCGTCGTTTTCCATAAAGCATTCAGTACTCAGTAATCAGTACTCAGTATGCAGTATTCAATATTCAGTATTCAGGATTCTTTTAGGTACAGACGAGAGAGCAGGCTCAACGTGCCGGTTTGCCAGTTTCCTTAGTTTCCTTTGGGTTCTTTGTTGTGAAACTCTTCGCATTCAGGCGCTCGAGTTATTTGTCACCTTTACCAACCTCGGCCTGAAGGGCCCTGATGTTGATATCCTTCTTGTTAAGTCTTATTTACACGCGCAAACAAGCCGACAGGCTTGAACCAGCCGTGAGCTGTCTTGTGAGAGTGTTGCTCCGTGTTGCAAATAAAGAAAGACTTGCTAAGAGTCGCTCTAAACAGTCGGTTCGTTTGGAAGAGGCTTTGCTCCTGGAGTCCCTCGAAGCGGGACGGCAGAGTTGTGAAGCTGCAGCGCTCACCGCGCAGATTCTCGTCATGGGCTTCCGGCAGCCAGCAGCAGTAGAGGCCCAATGTGGGCCAATCATGTCAATCGCACTGCGCACGAAGCTCACAACGCTTGCTTTGCCCGTGCAGGTGCAAAAACTCTTGGTGTTGCCTGATGCTTTTGCTGGCCACCAGCCGTCATGGGCTGCGAATTGGTTTCTTTCGCTGCCTGCAGCTCGGCCACATGATGCGGTGGTACACTTGTTCCAATCTTGTGCTGTGGCTGTGCTCAATATGCCGATACTTGTTCAGGACCCAGCGGTATTGGTGCTTTCTGGCTGGTACGTCTTCTTTGCTGCGCTTCTGGATGCCTTGAAGCAAGGACAGCAAGGATGCAGGAACCTTTCTCAGGAAACATGATTGGAAGCGACCGTCGCTGCCATACATAACCATTCGGCAAGTCGTGCATGTGCACTTCACGGCCGACCAAAATACTGGCGAGTGCACAGTTTTGAACACTGACATTTTCAGAGCTTCTTGAGCAAAATCTGTCTGGACAGGTTCCGATTCCAAGCTAGCTTACTTTGCGGGGTTGTCTTGCTTCATCTGCAGCCGATGTCGCAGAATTGTCAATCATGCGCAGTGTGTTCCAGGACTCCGGTTTCAGAACGGCTGCGAGTGGTTGGACGGGTATGGCGACTTCTTGCACCCTTTGAAGCACCACGCTTGGATCCCAGTCACATCTGACTTGCGCACTCCACTTAGGCCCGCTGTATTGGAACCCATATTCACTTGCGCTTACAATGACCGTTCCAAGGCCGAGCAGTTCCAAGATTTCCGAGGATCATTGCAGGCCCTGGCCTTGCTGCAGACAGCAGCATCCATGCAGTCCCTGGCTCAGAAAATTTCGGACATTTAGGGTCTCCGGAGGAACATACTGGGCGGAGGACGCCACGTAACAACAACTTCGTCACCGACTTTTCCGCACTTAAACTTAGGGAGGAGAGAGGAGGGGCAATTCGTTCATTGCCGTTCATCGTTCTGGTGGTCGGACCACCCAAGCGCAGGACACACTCCGCGCACCCAACACTACCCTCACAAACGCGACCAACGGCAAGCTAAACTCATAACAATCGTTTCATGCACCATCGGTTGCTTTTGTTTGATTTGGGTCCCTGTTCAATGAGGCTTTTGCTGATGCATGTCTTGCTGCAGTCAGGGGAGGTCATGGGTGCAGTGTGCTCTGCTTGGCAGACATAGTCTGTGAAGGGCCCACTTCGAATTCAGTCGCAGTTCCGTATCCAGTGCCCTGAGAGATGAAAAGCTTGAACCTCGCTCGCTTCCCTCAGGATGGGAGGGTACATCGCTTCACAATCCATGCCTGAAGCTCCTAGGTGCTTGCATATCCTTGCGTAGACCCCCACGCCATGTTGATCCGTTATGACGAGGAACTTACTGAGACGGCTCTTTATGAGCGAGGTTCGGGAAATGGTGTTCCTCCCTGGCCGCCTGCTCACCGCGCGCTCCTTCAATCCCCGGCGAGCTCTCACGTCGGTGCGCACCAGGCCATCTCGACAAAGCCCCATACATCGCTGCCCCGAAAAGCGGTATGGGTCGCGATGCGGATATGCTCTGGGCAATTCTGTCCCGGGACTTAAGGATCCTTGGCGCGATGCATGCCGATGCATGAAAATCGTGTAGCGGATGAGGGTTAGGTTTAGGGCTCAGGGTGTAGGGTTTTGGTTTAGGGTTTGGGGTTTAGGGTTTAGGGTTTAGGGCTTTAGGGTTTAGGGGGAATTGTCGGCTCCCTTTTTTGTGTGTGGGTGGGGGAGGGGGGGCGGAGTGGGGCGAGGTTCAGGGCCATGAAGCTCAGGGACACGTCGTGTGCCGCAACAGTGGCTCGCGAGTGGGATCAAGAGCCAGCATGGACCTGGTCACTTACGGGGCCACACACTGGCTCGCCTCCACACGCCGTCATCTTACACGACTCAGCCTTTTTGCGTAATCACGAAGTCGCGCTCGAACTGCGCGCTTGAAGATGCGGCTATTTTAGAGGCAGCCTTTCGCAAGAATGAAGCTACGTGGTCCCAGTTCCGGCCATCGACAGGTTTTCGCATCGCCATTGCGGCATGGCAAAGCGCGAGTGATCGCGGCAGCATTGGTTTTTCGAAGCTTCGACCGTATGTCATGGACAGCTTTGCAAAGGCCCGCATGACCGAGTTGATGCGGCCGATGCTGGATGCGGAAGTGCCCGACATCGCGCTCAGCGCCAGGGAGGCCGAACGGACGGCCGGGCCCTTAAGAACGCTCGGCCTGGACGGGCTGCGTTGTGCGGGAGCGCCGCTGCGCACTCACCCGCCCCGTTTTTTAACCTTTTTCTCGCACCTTTTTGCATCCGCAGTGACGGGGTCCAGGGGTCGGGATCAGCCGCAGGGCTCTGGGTCAGGCTTGGGCGCTCGGCGAGCAGCTCCCCAGTGGTAGCTCCTGGTCGTGCTGCGTCGCACGGCTGCACCGGCAGCTCTACGTTTGCGTGCAGTGTTGCTAGTGACCGGCCGCAGCGGCGTTCCACGGCGCCCGCGCTCGTCCTCGTGCCCGCGCCAGGTGGCGGATATCGAGGGTGTTGGGGCTGAATGGTCCTCCGAAAAGACGACCAACAGACAACGCCCTGGCCCTCAGCCCGCAGCTCCGGATACGTGCGATGCTTGCGTGCCTCGGCGTGGCGAAGCGCGCATCCGGGCGCATCGGCCGGGGCCAGTGGGTGCGTTGCTCACAACCTTGGCCCTGTGAGCAATGTTTGCACGGCGGCGTTGACGCCGAGCGCCGAGCGCCGCCCAGCGTCGAGCGACATCGAGCGCCGAGCGACGCCGAGCGACGCCGAGCGGATGCCCGCCGCCGAGCAACGAGCGCTGCCGAGCGACACCGAGCGCCGCCGAGCGACGCCGAGTGCGAGATAGTGTGAGCGTCGCTCGACGAGGTCGCTCGTTTTCGCTCGTCGTCGCTCGTCCTTGCTCGTCTTCGCTCGTTTTCGCTCGTTTTCGCGCATCATCGCTCGTCTGCGCGGATGTCCGCACGACCGCGCCACCGATGCAACCAGCCTCCCGCGACGCCCAATTTTGACGGCGCTGCCCGGTGGTCCTCAGCGAAGTGCCAACCGATTCTTCTGCGGCGCTCGCGTTCCCCAGCCGACTGCCGTAACTCTGCTGAGCTCGGCATTGTGTGTTCCCTGGGACCGCGCTCAACCAGGTGCTAGCAGGGTGGCAAGTTAGACGCTAGAGGCGTTTGCCGGAAGACATGCTCTACAATTCAATCTTTATTGAGCGGAGGGATCCCGATTTTGCAAGAAGCAAGTTACGAAAAAAAATCATTCAGCTGTGCTTCCGGGCGGCAGATATGCATAGCACCACAGGGAAGCATCAGGCTGGGCAAGTTCACGTCCCCAACCAAGAACCGGACGCACCCAGCCAGGCAGTTCCTCGCCTGCTGCTTGCGAGAGGAGATGTCTGTCAGCATGCTGGCTTGCCGATACGGCGTGTGGCCTCTGTGTGCCTGATGTAGCTTCTTTCTGACTGGCCATGATGTACAATACACCTACTTTCACATCTTTCGGACACCCTCGGTGGTCTTACTGATGCTTGCGAATGTTCGTTTTCGTATCTTTCGCGTGGTGTTGTTGATTTGATTGTTTTGCACTCCTGCATGTTTGCAGGGATCACGTACCTAATAAGTTTCCTTTTGATCGTGACACACGATCGTTCAAGGTTCGTGCATTCGCTTCGGCAAGGCGATAATATGTGTGTCATATTGTGTCCTCGAGATGCACAAAGATCGCCTCGCCATCCCGCAGCTGCTCCGGGTGCTGTGAATACAGCGCTGGCATCAGCGGATCTCCCCACCCGCTCCTTGCGCGATGGTGTGGGCATCGCACATGCCTGTTTGCGCGGAGGGCGAGCAGCCCGGGTGCGGCAACGTGCGAGCAAGCGGATGAGTGATGCCGCCTCCGCGCTCCAACGCCTGCCCAGAACGAAAAGGTGGCAACGCCACGAGCCGACCAGCTCAGCGTCTGTTGCGCAGCGCCGCTGGTGCCATTCAGGCGCCGTGGCTAAGCTGCTGCTGAACAATCCTGTGCAGCACTGTGCAACTTATTCGCATCCTTGACACTCACGGTGCAGCGGAGCCGCAATTAAAGTTGAGCACATACCGGGACTTGCCTGTCAACCAGCTGTTGGGTGAAATCTCTCCGCTTATGGCCATGTGTGCACATGGCCGTCTTTTCGCCTACAGCGGCTGCCGCAGGAGATGGAAACTTTGTCCAGCAGTTTCATTCAGGTTGCGGGTATCTTCGGTATCTTCATCCTGGGCACGCTGTTCCCGTTAGAAACGCCGCAAAGAAGAAGAAAAACAAAACCACCGCATGGCCGTTTTGCTCCGCCCCCGCCAGCGGCAACTCAAGCAGCGACAGGGCAAACGCACGCTGGGCCGCCACCGCCAGCATGCCAGTCCATCAGTGGATGCTGGACCGGCATGCGGCAGGCCTCAGACGCGCGAGCGCCTCGCGTGCCCGCGCCGCGGCGAGTTGGCGCAAGAAGGTGACGGTCTCTGTGTCCATTCTCCCGCCCACCTCAAGGCCGACGACTACCAACCTGCGCGCTTTCGCCGCGCAGCGTCGGAAGCCGCCGCCCCGGGCGTCCAATCTGTCCTCGGATGCGCTGCGCCGTCCCGCGAGACCGGACTTCCGAGAGTCGTGTCAACGGCAACTTGCGCGCCTTGGTACAAGGGGAGGCCGTTGGCCAGCACGTCAATGCGGCGTGCATCCGCCAGCGGGATCCCCCGATTTCAGCGGCCAGAACGCATAAGCGATGCGGGGTTCCGCGAGGTGAGCTCGGGGATCTTGCGAGCGTGCGGCACTGCGCCATCGCGTCGCACAGGCGACACTAGGATACACTAGGGTTGCGTCGCACGGTGAGCACCACGCGGGTCACCTGAACAAAGACGGCTAAACAGGTTTGCTTGAGCCTTCTTAACGTCCGCAGTGAAGGGGACCAACCGAGTTCGCCTAAGACTGCCGTGCCTGGGGCGCCTGCAGGCCAGCCAAGCAAACGTCGACCCCACTGCCTCAACGGCTTATCAAGGCGATGCACTGATGCAGCATGAAGAAAAGCAGCCCCGTGCTGCATTGCAGGCAATACGTAGGCCTGGAACAGGCTGCGTCGGAATCCGGTGTGAAGGGGGCGGTTCTTGGCCCATGCCACAGGTCGTCCGCGTACTCTGGGAGCCGCAGAGTGGCAACCAAGAGCAACCCCTGGGCAGGAAGCCCGTACAGCTGTGGACATGCCATCGAACAAGATGTTGAACAGCAATGGTCCAAGGATCCCGTCGACCAGGACTCGTGCAGACGTGCCATTCCAGAGGTCATCCACGACCAGCCAAGTGGATCCTGTTACGCCGGCTTCGGCAAGTTTGACCAGGACTGCATTTCTCCAGGCTACGTCGAAAGCTTTCCGCACATCAGGAACTTCACAAAAAACGCGCTTGCGCGCACGAAGGCGCAGCGTTTCCACGAGTGTGCACATTTGTTCCTCAGCTCCGTTCACTCTAGGAAACAACCTTTTGAGGAGCAACCGCTCGAAAACCTTTAGTGCGCAGCACAACAGGCTGATGGGCTGAGAATTATTCAAGTCATCGGCTGGGCCAGATTTGTGCGAGGGCGTGACTACTGCGAAAGGGCATCTGCCCAGTGACGTACGATTTGAAAGAACAACAAAAGCGCTGAGTGCAAAACTGCTCTGTCTTCCTTGAGTATCAGCCCCATCTTGTATGCGCGTCGCAAGTACATGGTGGGAGGCTTGCGCCACATGTTGTCCGTGAGTGGACATTGGCTCGGTGCGGCC